GATAGGAGATGGATCTATGGATATATGGAGGAGTGGTGGGTTGTGCCCTAAACCTGCTAATGTAAATACAATAGAGAGCTACTTGAAGTGATCCCCAGATCATTTACTCATTTACTCACGCCACCAACCACAGCAACCACCCCACAGCCCATCCTCCCTCCCTCCCCATTCGGATGAAGCAACCCCTTGCCGGAGCCGACAAAAAAGGTCGTCGGCTGACTTTCAATTAATCAAATTATCGCGCGCCCGTTCGAGGATGGGAGGATGGGTGATTGAGAGGGTGGGCCAGCCACTCGAAAACTGCAGATGGGAGGATGGGAGGAGGAACATTTGTCCACTTTTTGCAATTTGTACAGGTCAAACTTTGGGCTCCGGATCGGTTTTCCGTTCTGTAAACTTCTGATTGTTGCTATTTGTCGTGTGCGGCGGCAGCCAGCGTCAATAAATTGTCAAAATCTGTCAAAAATTTTAATGACTGTGTGACGGATAATAACCGAAAATCGATTTGTTCAAGGCGGTCTATTGATTTCGATTGAGTTTGCAATTTAGTTTCCATTTGAACCATTTTTTTGGTCACTGTTGTGGACGTTTTTATGGATAGCCAAAAGAAGGCCAAACAATCGACTCATGATCCGGGGGCAATTTTAGAGTTTTTAGCGTCAGTCGGAAATATTTCATCCAGCTGGAAAATCCAGGCATGTGGGCGATGGTCCTTCGAGAGGAGGGCGACAGTTCGAAGTTTGAAATATTTAATGAACCTATTTTCAGTGGAACTTCCACTCCCATTACTGACTTTCACCTCGCCAAACCGCGATTCTCGGAACTTTCGCACTTGTCTATTGACGCCTGCAAGTGCAGGACTACCCCTGCCCGCACCCAGCCAGGATGTCCGTTTGATTGTCTGGCACAAAATCAGTGCTGTTGTCTAACCCTTTGGCTCTACAATCGGGAATGAAAGGGTACCAAGCGATAAATGACAATGACAACAGCCAAGAGCAAACCGCATCTGCATCCCGAGTCAATGGTTGTATAACATGCATAAATTATCGTACAACTGTAACAGTCGCGCATATTTCGGTTCATTAGGGGACAGCACCACCATTGCCATGCCCTTGGTCTGGAGTGGTCTGCCCTGGCCTTAACCCTTCTATTCCCGGACATATGCAAAATAATGCCGCATCATTAGTGCGTGCGGCGGTGGCAACAACAATGGGCAAGGGTTGCAAGTGGAGCACGTGTCGCGGAGAACCGCGTAGATGCGGTTCTGGACAGGACATGGGAATCGTGGCAGAGTGTGTCTGGCATTTTCACGTGTCGATGTTCACATCAGGATAACCTTTGCTGCCGCTGAAGTTAAAGGCTTGAGAGGCAAGCGGGGAGACCAAATGGAATCCGAAGAAGCCTTCCTTTACTCACAATTCCCATTACGCGCATCGCTCCCCAAAAATCTGTTCTATTTAGGATTCCACGCCTCCGGTTCTTGGCTTAACGCCCTCACCACGCATTTCTCTTCCTTCTTGGCCCGAGAAACGAGTATTTTCCCACAGGCAAAAACCAAAGGAACCACAAAAAGTGTTGACCTTGTTAAGTTTTGGCAAGAATCCATCCATGGGCAAGGCCAGGCGTTACCAGTTACCTGCCCGGGTAGAGTTTGGACGGAGGGTCTGGGCTGGAGAGGTACTCACTGGACAAGGCTTCATCGACTCATAATTCACGCCGTCAGAGAGGCCTCCGAAGAGTATAAATCACCGTCCTTTGGAGAGCACGAACATCCAGCGGTATCTCAGTATATCTCTAATAATGATATCAGAGCACGCTCTATGTCGTTAGAGCACTTGATTGCCTCCTGCCTCCGATCGCTTCCCCCCGAAAAGCATTTGGGCTTTTCTCAGGCCCCTTTCCCTTTTTCAAGCGGAGGGATCGTGACACCATCTTCGACCTGCAGTCGCAACCTACAATGAGGAGGATCTTCATCCGAATACTCCTCCTCCCTCTTCCACGTCAACAACTAAGGAAGAAACAGCAAAGCGCAGTGTTGGATAGAGAGCAAGAGGCGAGGTTCGCTCTTTCTCTTTCTTCTCCCACGAAACGATAAATACACCAATAACAACAGCAACAGACTCCCAGAAGATGCCATCGCCTTGATCCAAGCGCAAGCGCAAGTCCAAGTCCAAGGCATATGCATATAAGAAACTGCGACAATGATGATCATCATCATCATTATCATCCGACGAGCGACGATGTGATTGAAACAAAACATCTTATTATTACCTTCGACCGACCGAAGGAACGACCCCGTGCGACCCTGATGGGGGGACGGGGACCCCGAACGAGGAAACGAGGCAATAAGGAGGAAAAAAACAAAGAGTTTGCAAAAATAATTCCCACGCTCTCTGGCCAGAGGTAGGGGCAGAGACAGGGGCAGGGGCAGGGGCACAGAGGCAGCCTTTTGTCGTCGTCTGTTGGTCGTCGTCCCATATAAGGCAACGTCCTTCCAACGCCTCTCCAACTCTTCCCCTCCTCCGACAGCACCTCTTTTCAGGGTATGGTCATGTCCATGTCCATGCCCATGTCCATGACCGCCCCCCCATCGAAGATTGGGTCGAAATTTCTGCGGCTTTGCTTTCGTTGCGACCAGCAGCAACGCCCTCCCTCAAGCCAGTCCCCATTCCCCATCCTATCCTTTACTTTGTAGCAGCTGAGGGGCTGTGATGCAGTTTTGTGATTGATTTCACTCTGGTCATGGCCCCGTAACCGAACTGAGCCCGAACCGATCCGAACAGAACTGATCCAATTCACTCGGCGCATAATTTCTTAACTTTCACAGCCCATTGAGCTTGAAATATCACGTCACACGGCACCCCGTCTGAGGGAGGGGCAGAGGACGAGGAGGAACGGCGGGACTTCGAAGACAGGTTGACAATTGACAGGTATCAAGTGGTTAGGGCTCATAATTATAGTTTTTAGTGATGCGTAAAATGTGTTTTTGTCGGCAAAACAGAGGATGAGATTTTCGGTTTGGCAACTCTTCAAAATTGCTTGCTGTGGGTACTCAAGTGTGCTGGTCTCTTGCCCGACACGGCTGGCTCCCCGACTCTCCCAAAGATACCCTTCGAAGGTAATCCAAGCAGCAGGAAGACCAAAACCACAAAATCGGATGGGGATGGGATCTAATCCAAGGGGCTACCCATTGAACCGCATTCTTTTTACATATCATTAATGTGCCAAAAAGTGGAAATACTCGTACTTTCAATGAAAGCTGAGATGAATGCAGACCAGAGGAGTGAGAGAACCTGGGAGACTGAGAGCCAGAGTACCAGTTCGCAGTCCTCTGTCCATGGAATCTGTGTTATTGAAGTGCTGCGCAATTAACTTACAGAGGCTTTTGATTATGTTTCACAGTTGCCGCAAAATTAATAGCCCTGCAAACCAAACGATCACAAATGATATCGCATACGAGTCGGACCCACATATGATAGAAACATGATACTTGTGTCGTTCAGTTTGTGGCACTGAAGGTAGTATCATTTATGATATCTTGAAAAGGAATCGTTTGAATATAAATTTAAATATAAATATAGAATATAAAATCTATTAAAATTGGGGCACAAGCTAAAATAGTAAAACTTACTTCTTAGTGCTAAAGTGGTTCGAAGTCCTCTTACACACTTTTTGGAGTCTCTCCCCATACTCGAGCCTTTATTAATGCGACGTCACAACGCAACAAAATAGCAGAGGATATGTACCTACCACCACAAAACACACCACGACACACACACAAGAAGCACCACTTCCCTCTAGTATTAGGCACTAGTTCCGCACCGGTGCCGCACTAGCTACCATTCTCACCTCCCTCTTTCCTTTAACAAACTTCTTTTTAAACACCCTTTTCTTCAGCCTTCGGGGGCTCATCGCCAGGCCAGACTCGTCGGCAAAAGTCAGTCCCTTAACGTATGCTAGCAATAAATGCGAGTGAAAGGCACATAGTATAGTGAGTGTGAGTGAGACGGCATATGTTGATGTTGATTAGCCCTTTAATTAAAATTTCCTATTATAATACAAAGAGGTGAACAAATTTTAACAAACAATTCCTCATGACTCTTAAGAGCCTTCTTGCCTTTGACCCCATCAAAATTGAACGCCAGAACAATCTCCTCGCTCATTGTAAAATGTAAATTGCTTAGAACACCAGCTGGATGCAGAATCGATTTCGACAGGGAAAAAGGTCACATAATTTAGATTTTATATGTACTTTCATACATGCTCCTATCTATTTTCATTTTTCCCTCCAATCCTCCGTTTTTATTGGGAACTGTTCCAGATTGGGATTCATTTCTCCTTGAGCGGTTTGATCCGAAAAGATTTGGAGTACTGCTTTTAATTCATCTAAAAACAATGTTGTTAATTAATTTTAGTCTTACAACGAATAACAGCATTCTCCAGTTGAAGAGTTTTTATAAGTATATACGAAGTATATTTATTTATTTATTATTTATTTCACTATTCGTCGACAACAATGGACCCCTTTGGTTCTATAGGGTATACCTACTCGCACACCACCACCGAATTGGTCGTCCAACAGGTTAAAAGGCACCATCCATGCTGTGTCCGTGCTGCTGCGAGGGCTGCTTCGATAGTTGCGAGGGTTGCTATCCACCACTGCGTCGGCGGTGGTGGGCCGACGACGCATCGTATAACTGCTTAGCTATAGCTACCATATGCTCCGACTGCAGACGATGGTGAGTTGCAACTCCCGACCTGTTCTGTCGTCGAGCTGCCCTGCGGCCCGACATTCGCTCACCACTCGCGCTTCTGAACGGACGTGTCTTCGGGTCGAATCAAATAATCATCTTTGACGGGAAAAATCAGAAACAGAATCAGAATCGGTTGAAAGTTCAAAAACTCCGCAATTTCGCTGTGTCGCATTTTCAATTGAATTAAATTGAATGCAATTTGTGAGCCACTAACGAGACTGCAAAATGTTTGTCTAACTCGCATTGAGGAATCTCTTGCTCGTAGATTGTCGCGTGTTTGTCGAGCTTCGAGACTCTCTCCATAATCAACTCCAATCGAAACCATAAACAAAGAAGTGCCACCCAATCCCATCCGAAATGGCTGATGAAAGTCTGCACACAATGCCGCTGGAGCACAACATAGACTATCACATTGTGACATTGTTCGAGCGGCTCGAGGCGATGCGCAAGGACTCGCATGGGAACGCCACCAACAACCGGCTCTCCAGCACACTGCAGGCACCCAAGCGGAGCATGCAGGCGGAGATTCGCACTCTGGAGTTTTGGAGGTGAGTGACCCCCCCCAATCCTTTCTGTTCCGCACCATTATGTATCTCTGTAGATGTCTCTGGCTGTAGCTTCTGTGTGTTTTGAATGTACTACTTTTATGTAAAAGGAGGCCTCTAAGTAATTGCAAATTAAGTGTTCCTTGACAACATCACGATGTGATAGTTTCCCAACCAAACATTTGCAAAGCAGTTTTTGAGACAATGAAACTTGTCATTTCCCGAGAATGTCCCACAAACTGAGGGTCCCCTTCACCTCCTCGAGATGGCCTTCACTTCATAGAATGTCGATATAATTAACATTTCATCACGAGTTGATGGAGTAATTAAATCTTTGCCGCATTGAATGGCCTGCCTGCCAGAGCCAGGGCCAGGAGCAGGGTGCTTCTCGCTTTTCGCTCCTCTTTTGAGCGAACAAATTCCAACTAAACGACGTGACTTTTCCCACTCCCCTGCTCCAATTCCATCCCCCTTCCCTGCTCCCCTGCTGACCATTAAAATCGCAAATTCGTTGAGGGGATAGTTCTCCATTAAAGTGGGGGACACAGAGAGAGCAAGAAGACAAAAGTCAAACAGCGAAATTTATGGAAATTCGCGGAGTTCAGTGCAGCTGCCACCCCAGCACAGGGCCCCACCGCGTGAGCGGGGGTTTGTTTGATTTTTCGTTATCTTTTGAGCTTAAGGCGAATCCGACATGCCGCCCCTCACTCGCCCCTCCCTCGCTTAATTGTCAGTGTAACAGAAGCGGGCATTGTGCAACTGAATTTGTGCAATATTTACAGCCAGGGTCCACGCTTCCACCAGCACTCATGACGAACCATCTTCTCCCTTTGCAGATCCATCATCAGCGAGTGCCTGGCTTCGTTCCTGTACGTGTTCATCGTCTGCGGAGCCGCTGCGGGCGCCGGCGTGGGTGCCAGCGTCTCATCCGTGCTTCTGGCCACAGCCCTGGCCTCCGGCCTCGCCATGGCGACACTCACGCAGTGCTTTCTCCATATCTCTGGTAAGGCAACACACAAACAACACACACAACAAACTGACAATAAACAAGCCCGCCGACAAGTGCTTCGTGTCGGTGGGGACTCTTGGACTCTTGCGTGGGAATTCCCCAGTTCGGTTTTATCCACAGCCCTAGCCCCAGCCGCAGAGCGAGGGAGAGATGGGGAGAATTTCAAATGAAACACAACAGAGGACAGAAACAGAACAACAAGAACCTCATTTTTGTTTGTAATTTTCCAAAAGGCATTGCACTCCGCCGTGGCCCGCCCTGGCCCGCCATGGCCCGCCGTACTACCTCCTCTTATCGCCTGGGGCGCACTTGCGGTGCCATCGACTTGCACAAAATTCTGTTTCTGTTCTGTTCTCTACTTTAAATGCGAGCATATTCCCCATATATTTGTTCATTTGCGTTGACATTCGAGGCAATTAAACGGCTCCACAAAAAGTAAACCACAAAACGGGAGAAATATCTGGGCGGAGGGGGAGGCAGGAGGAGTGGCAGGAGCGAAGCGAATGGAAACATGTGCTGCTGATTTGCCTTCCCCAATCGCTGCGGTTCTGGCTGCATTTCTTGCCGATTCCCCATTTTCACAGCCAATTGGTGGAGCATTAAGTTATGATGTTATCTTCGAGGAGCAAGGGCGCCCTGCCTGCCCGTCTTTGCGTTTCGCAGAAGTGTCAAAGTGATATTGGGGGGACCTTCCCTTTTTGCAGAGACCATCGACTCAAGTGCAACAATCTTATCTATTTATTTACAGGCGCCCACATCAATCCCGCTGTGACTCTGGCCTGCTGCGTGGTGCGCAGCATCTCGCCCATTAGAGCCGCCATGTACATGACCGCCCAGTGCGGCGGAGGCATCGCAGGAGCTGCTCTGCTCTACGGGTAAGTGGAGAGTCCTCTGGGAGGAGCCATATCTATTGGAAATTCTATTTCCGCTTTGTGGGGGACCTCTTTAGATTGAATGCACATTCCAGACTCCATCTTTGTGGTTAGAACAACATATCAATGGCAGCAGTTGAGGGGGAAATGCATTTCAGTCGGTGCATCCGACTTGACCACAGCAATTTGCATCCATGCAATCGTCTGCAAGGACACTGCGTCCCGCAGCTGCTCAAGGATTTACTCTACCAAAAAGTAAATCCTTAGAGCTTCGAATTAAATCCAGCCCAGTGCTATCTCTCTGTCTCGTATGTCGTAAATCAAGGCGGTGGGTGAAAGGTCCTGGGGAGAATGCCAGAGAGATGGCCAGGCAGATGATACGCACTTTGGGCTATGCGATGCGATGACTGTACAACAAGGACTCGGATACTTAGCAGGAAACACGAAATTCGTGTGTGCTGAAAAGAAGAAATAGAAAATTGTATAAATAGGATATGCAGGTAACCGCAGGGCTGAGCCGTTTGTCCTTGCCAGAAAGATGTACGCACACACACACACGCGCACACAATCTGAGAGGACACCACCTGCACGGGACTGAGCGGGAGGAGGCCACGCAGGTAGCTAGGAGTCGTCGCATCGCCTATGGAGATAGAGAAACATCTGCCTCTCCTGTTTGCGCTGTGATTTCCCATTTTGAAAACGTCAGCGGCAGCGGGAAAGAATGGATTCCTGCCTAGATAATGGTCCAAGGATCTCTACATCTACACGCACTGCTGTTGGTGGTTCGGTTTCCCATTCCACAGCTAAATCTACTGCCTGTCAGGGTTTCTCCTTTGTATCTCGGCAGGAAAGAGGAGTCGAGGAGGGGTAGTGTCGCACAGAGGACTGAAAGAAAAGGAAATATCTTCGCCTGCGCCTGCGCACCATTTTTCAAATGTCGCTCCAATTTGTTGTTGTACATTGAACTTATTTTCTGTGTGGAGAGCAGAGGAGAGCAGAAGAGAGGAGAGGAGTCGTTGTTAATGGCTCTCTTCTCCTCTGCTCTCTGCCTGCGTCTGTAGTCCGTTGTCTGCTCGACATCTGTTTTTACCCTCCTCCGATTCCTCGTTTTTTAAGTGCGTTGGCATCTTTACTTTCTACAGATCCCCGATTCCCCTACAGGCGGAGGAAGGAATCGGGCCGGTGGCAGGGGCAGGAGAAAGAGGACGCACAAGAGAAACATGTTTCAGCTGCTGCTGCTGCGATCAGGTTCGGGTTGAGCTGAGTTTTTTCTTCCCCGATATGGATTTTTAAGGGTCCAACGAGTTCAAATTGTATTTTAGTCGAAACATATGTTTTATGTTTAAAAAACTACAGAAAGAGAGAGAGACTCGGACTCTGTCCATCTGTCTGTCTTTGGTGCTGATTAATTGGTTTAGATTTGGTTAATATCGGTAATTCCTATGGAAATCCTGCCGAGAATCCGCTCCTGCTTTGTTACTTGTTACCCCCACCCTAAGAACCTTCAACCGTCACTTCAACTCCAGGCTCCCAGCTCTCACCTCAAGGCTCCTCCTTGCTGTTGTCACATTTCACTTGGCACTTACCCTAATTGCGCTGCCACTGGGATATGCCACATGTGGCCCGGCAGAGGAGATACCAGCAGACATACCGAAGCAGATAAAAAGTCTTCCTGTACTTCATAATCTTTTATGAAGCGGATAACGCTTGAAAAAACAGTGCGGGACGAAGACAGTGACAGTGACAGCCACGGCGACAGACAGACGGACAGACCGACAGACAGACCCGCAGCACTTCTTGTGGAGTATCGATATCCGGCTCAGGGATATTTGAATAGTCTTTAAGCTGTACTGCCTGCCGCCTCGCATTTCAATTTCAATGATTTCTTCCCCGTTTTTGTTTTTTTGTGGATTGGTTCCAAAGAACGCGCGCCGAGCACGTTCCAAAAATGTGCCAAAGGAGAAGGCTTTGAAATTGATGAAAGATAAAAATCAGGTAGACGCCGAAAGCCGAAAGCCGAGGAACACAGAAAGCAGAAGAACATAATTAACATTTCCAGTGGCCTTTGTCCGAGGCTGCGCCTGCGCAGGACGCGTCATGCGGAAACTTGAAATCAAACACGTGTCGTCGCCGCTGCACTGCTCCTTTCTGGTTGGTCCGAACACAGACCCTTGAGGGCAGCTGGAAACTGCCGCTGCCTTTGGATGTATTCACGGCAGGGCACACCTGCCGCCTGCCGCTGCCCAAAACAGAAATTACTGTATCCCGAAGAGATACACACAAAAACAGGATTTTCGAGGCAGAAATTTAAATTTTAAATACCCAACCGAAACGGACACACCGCACACCGTACACCGAAAAGTGCAGGTCAGCAGAGAGGGGCTTATGCCTTCAATACACGGTGCCGTCGTTCTTTCGGTTGATTTGTATCTAGCATGGAAATGCACTTCCTGCACTTGAATGTGGCCAAGGGGGAGAGGCAGCAGCCAGTTGAAATCGAAATCAATTCGTGTCACATGGGCAATTCAATTACGGAATCCGTTTGGGAGCGCATCCCTTCCCCATTATTAATTTCTTCTCTCCGCTCGGCTTATCATGGGAATTGGAATGGGAAGGGCATCCTGCTAGTGCTTCCGGTTGGCCTATCCCCTCGTATCCTCCGAATCCTGTGCACAGGTGGTGGTCCAGTTATGTCACCAACACTCGCAAGGAGCGGCAGAGGCAGAGGGAGCGAGGAGGTCATAAACAATCCTCAACAAATGAAATACCCATATAATAATCATCCTGGATCCCATCGAATGTTGAATCACACACATTTAATGGAATAATTTGATTTGGGGCCCTTATCGGGGAGTCAGGTCCCAGGAGGAGACTGAAAGCCAACCACAAGCCAAACCACGAGCGAGTTGGATGCAGAACCTCTCGCCTTTCACCCGGATGCGGTGGCCCCAAAAACACACTCGCACTCGCAATCACACAGGGGGGAGGGTATCTCTATCCCCATCCCCATCCTCAGTTGCACACAAAATTCAAGCTTTCAGTTTGTTGTAAGTTCTCACTTTTTATTCCATAAACAATTTGCGCAGGAAGGGCTCTGCTCTGCTGAAGGCACACACAGAAAGTTTGGCTAACATTTTGCTATTTCTCTTGCCATTTCCGGCTACTTAGTCGCTTCCCTTCCTTACTTTTTCCTCCATGAAATCCTGAATGTGTGCTGTGTGGGTGGTCCGTGGGTGGTCCGTGGGTGGGCGAGTGGTTTTCGTGGTCATTCGTGAGCTCTGTGAAATTAGCACTTTGTAGATTTATGAGCAAACAGACACTCTTCGCCCTCGACTCTCCAAACTTTGCAGTTCACTCAATGGAAAAGTGTTTTCCAAAGCGATCAAACTTTCATCATGGCCAAGATTTCATCATTTAGGGTTTTTTGTGGGGAAGTGGAATGTCATATATCTCATATCCTACGGCTTAGGGCCATATAATACCTGCTAAGACGGCAGATACACAGACGAACGACTATCATACCTTGCCCTTCGCTCCTTTGTCGCACCTCAACCGCCGAAACTGGCAAGGAATCCCCCCCAGCCAAGGAAGGCAGTTCTATTTGCTCAAGTACTTTTAAGTGCATTCCGGCAGCATTTATTTCCGGATATTCGCAGTTGCTCAACGTGGGGTTGTGGCAGACTGCCGCCAGGTACTGAGTACCGAGTACTTGCCACGGAATGAAGATTGAGTGGGTCAGGGCAGGGCAGGGCAGCGCTGAAGCAGTGTGTGAGCGCTTGATAAATATTTGCTTGCGCACCGCTTCAACGCCTCCCTCCCTCTTCTTGTCTAATGGAGTTCCCTTTTGGGGAACAACAAAATGTTCGAGAAGAGTAATATTTCGCAGCGGCATCCGAATTATCCAAGAGACTATGTTTTTCATAAATCGCGAAAGCCACAAACTTTTGGTACGCGAAACTTTGACAATTCGAATTCCGTTGAGCGAGGACCAGGACCAGATACATGCGTGTGCAGGGATGGGGTGGCTCTGGTTTTCGGGTGGAATGCCGAGGGCTGGTGCGCTCTAGCTTACGAGCTGTCAGAAGGGGCGTTAATAATAAATAATCTCAATTTGCGGAAAATTTTCTGAAAACTGGAGTCAATCGGCAATCGAATAAATATACTCATTCTCTCCTCGTGTCCTTCCTTCGACAGGGTCACCGTGCCTGGCTACCAGGGAAATCTTCAGGCAGCCATCTCCCACAGCGCTGCTCTGGCCGCCTGGGAACGCTTTGGCGTGGAATTCATCCTGACATTCATGGTGGTGCTCTGCTACTTCGTGTCCACCGATCCCATGAAGAGGTTCATGGGCAACTCTGCCATGTCCATCGGTGCCGCCTACAGTGCCTGCTGCTTTGTGTCGGTAAGTATTTGACATTGATAATGATGATGCCTCCTCACCGAGGAATGCCAGCCACAAATCTCGAACGTCCCCAGACAGACGACAGACGACAGCCAGACCGAAAGCAAAGCCAAAACCAAAAACAAGACAGAGACTGAAAGCAGAAAAAGAAACAGAAACAGAAACGCACCTGCCACTGACTCTGTTGCAAAATCGCAGCTTGACACACAGGTAGAAGGGATCCGATTCCGAACGCAAGAAGACAGAGGAAGGTCGCTCGGGATGGTGGGGGAGGGGGACAGATAATTAATTTAACACTGAACGAGGCCCAAACCCAGACCCCGGCGCAGCCTCTCGCGGAGGCATTGTTAGCATAACGGACAGCGCTTGCCGCGGAATTCAAAGGAATTCTTAAAGAGACCGATTATCGATTATGGATTGAATTACGAGAGAGTCCCGTGCGGACATGGGGATCTTTGAAGATTTAGCAGAGACAGAAGCAGGAGTAGGAACAGGAGAGACTCCTAGAAACAGGAAACTCCTTAAGAGTACGATTCTCATTCGATTCTCTCCTTGCAGATGCCCTACCTGAATCCGGCTCGCTCCCTGGGTCCTTCGTTTGTGCTCAACAAATGGGACAACCATTGGGTCTACTGGTTCGGACCTTTGGTGGGCGGCATGGCCTCCGGCTTAGTCTACGAGTACATCTTCAACTCGCGCAGGAGCCAGCGCCACGCCAAGGGCAGCATCGACAACGACTCCAGCTCCATTCACTCCGAGGACGAGCTGAACTACGACATGGACATGGAGAAGCCCAGCAAGTACCAGCAGTCGCAGGGCACCTATCCGCGGGGCCAGCCCAACGGCAACGGAGGAGGCGGTGCCCCGGCCGGACAGCACGCGGCGCCCAACATGGGCCAGATCGCGGGAGTGGTGGGCGGTGTGCAGGGCAACTACTGCCAAAACCTGTACACTGCTCCGCCGCTCTCCTCCAAGTACGAGCAGCAGCAGGAGCCGCTCTACGGCGGAACTCGCTCCCTGTACTGCCGCTCGCCCACTCTGACGCGCAGCAACCTGAACCGCTCCCAATCCGTCTACGCGAAGAGCAACACGGCCATCAACCGCGACATTGTGCCGCGTCCTGGTCCGCTGGTGCCGGCCCAGAGCCTCTACCCCATGCGCACCCAGCAGCAGCAACAGCAGCAGCAGCAGCAGGCAGTCACCGCCGCCCAATCCTCCCACCTGCAGAACCAGAACGTACAGAACCAGATGCAGCAGCGCAGCGAGAGCATCTATGGAATGCGGGGGTCCATGCGCGGACAGCAGCAGCCACTCCAACAGCAGCAGCAGCAGCTCCAGCAGCAACAGGCTCCCGTGAATGTGCAACAGCAGCAGCAACAGATGCAGCCACCGCCGCAGCTGATGGCCGAGCAGCAGAACCACCAGCAGCAGCAGCAGCCGCAGGGCTTCCAACCCGTCTATGGCACTCGTACGAATCCCACGCCCCTCGATGGCAGCCACAAGTACGACAGGCGGGACCAACAGCCGCAGCAGCAGCAACAGCAGCTGTACGCCATGACGGGCCCGAGGAATCGCGGCCAGTCGGCCCAGTCGGATGACAGCTCCTATGGCTCGTATCACGGATCGGCAGTCACTCCACCGGCGCGTCATCCAAGCGTAGAACCGTCACCGCCTCCGCCGCCCATGCTCATGTATGCCCCGCCCCCGCAGCCGAATGTGTCCCATCCACAGCCCATCCGCACCCAGTCGGAGCGTAAGGTGAGCGCCCCCGTGGTGGTATCCCAGCCAGCCACCTGCGCCGTCACCTACACAACATCGCAGGGATCCACGCCAACGCCCCAGCAACAACAGCAGCAGCAGCAGCAGCAGCAGCAAATGATGATGCAACAGCAACAGCAGCAGCAGCAACATTATGGAATGCTACCGCTACGGCCCAACTGAAAGCGGCTCTCGTGGGGTCCTGTGACGACCCCGCCGCCAGCCGCAATGCACGCCCTCGCGCTCCACCCCGCGGGCACCATGACCCTGCACAGCTGCAGCCTAGCCAAGCAGAGCAGTTTGTTTTAGTTGTAGTCGTAGTCGATATAGATATCGAAGAGGCAGAAGGGGCATGCATCCAAAGGAAATGTACGCGAAGTCTCAGCCCTTAGTCTATCCTAATCATAGTTTAGCCAACTCCGACGTATAGCCAGAATAGATTGTAGAATATATTGTATTATTCCGAGCACCGGAGCACCGGAGCACCACAGCACCAGAGCACCAGAAGGAAAGGAACTCTCACCTAGCAGCAGCAGCAGAAGAAGAATAGCAGTAACAATAGCCATAAGATACTTATATCCGAAAACTGTTGTAATCGCGTTCCAATCGGAATCGGAAAAGGTTACACATTCATACTAGACTGAAAGACTTGCACCTTGAAGAAGTCTACTTATTTAATGTTTCTTTTTTTGTTGTTTAAACGACTATTGTGTTCTGTTTAGATCATCCGATTCTTCCAATTACAACGAATTCGTTTCAGTTTCAATTTTCGTTTTCTTTTTTTTTTTAGAAGCCAAAATTCTGTTTAATTTGTTTTTCATTTGTATATAAACTATGTTCGGTATATTCCTGTAAATGGTAGGCCATTAAGCTTAGAAGTAAGCTGATTTGATCTGTAAGCTGTATCTGTATTTAGTGATAATTATAATAGAATATGTATGTGACCAGGCTTGGTAGTATCCTCAGAATTACAATGCAAATATAAAGTGTATAAAAGACAGGAAGGAGATATCTCTTATATATCATCGAATTCCGCCGTGTCTGATAGATCGGAATCGACAGAATCTTCCTCCGTAGTCGATTCGACGTTGGTGCACACGTGGCGCATGTGGCGCTCCCACAGAAGCAGGCCCATGGGTGAGGGCGGCTCCTTGGCTCGCTCCACATCGTAGGACAACCAATGGCTATGCTGCTGCGTGTACAGCGAGTTGAGAAGAGTTGGCCAGTAGAACAGGGAGCCAACTTTGGACAGCTTCACATGCAGGGAGTACCCGTGCTGCTTTTCCGAAGCGATCCTCACATCGCCCAGAAGATTCATAAAGCACCTCTGGGGAGGCGAGGTCTCCGACACAAAATACGACAGAAAGTTCCCCCTAACAAACAGTTCATACTCCGACACCTTCTGCTCAAAAATGAGTTCGATTTGGCTGAGGGTCTGGTGCCACTTGACCATAGGCCAGGCCGTCGTCTCCCCAACTGTCTTGGCACACTGTAGGGCTTTCATCACCTGATCCTTCGATGGCTCTTGCACTGATGTTCTTGGTGATGCATCATCTACGCAACGAATTGGACTCGGCTCTGGTTTTTCGATTGCTTTTGCAGTTTCTGTGGGAGCCATGGAACCCTCCCCTTCATCGCCAGCTACAATGCTTTGCAGGAATCGACGGGTCTCTGCGCTTGACGAATTCTCGTTGGCTAACTCTCCCCTTAGCAGCTCCAGGAACGTCCGTTGAGATCCGTCTAGAGTTGGATCAACCGTTGGGGGATTACTCGGGCAGTCGGCTTTCTCCAGAGTTTTGTTCTGCTCCTTCAATGCGCTGCTGCTGGCTTCCATTGTGACGATGTCCTTGGCATCTGCAAATGCTACTTTCACCTGGTCTTCATTTATATCTGTTTTCGTAACTTCTTTGTTCACCTGAGGCTTGACTTTTTCGCTGATCGAAGCCAAGCCTCTGCAGGTTAGTGGTGCCGGCGGACCCTGATCGATGCTTTTTGTCGCCAGTTTGCCAAATCCACGCGCGATCAACTCCTTTCGAAGAACAGATCTGTACACACTGGTGCGCAGCGAGGGGCATTCCTCGATCAGGGCGATTTCCTTGACGTAGACGACGTCGAGCATGGAGAAGTCCACGGTTATCAGAATGTGTTGTCCATCTTGTAGACCGTGAAACGTATCGTGCACCCACTTGAGGGACTCCGGCGACCAGCTTGCCTGTCCTGCCGCAGGCTCCACACAGGACAGCTTAACATCCATGGCCAGGAGTGGTAGAGCTGTAAACTTCGCATCGCACTCCAGAAGGTGCCAGGGTCTGATCTGCATCAGCTCCGTGCCGTGGTCCATCAATTGCACAATCACCGATTGTTCTGTGGGAATGTCCATGACACGGACGCGTTTGTGGAGCCCCTGGTGATGCACGATGCAGACGTCGGAGACGCGGACTGGATGGTGCTGCTTTGAGCTGGGTCCCACACTCAGCTCCACCTCCGCAATCCACCGACTGGCCGGAAAGGGCGCCTCCACCCACGCCGTAGTGCCTGCCAGCATGTATTCTGTGGGCCAGAGAGCCATGTGAACTGGGTCGTAGATCTTGCAGAGCCTGCAGCGCACGAGGGCCTCGGATTGCTGGCAAGGATTACTCGAAGACTGTGCGTCCGCCTTGAGTAAGTGCTGCCGCACGAGGGCCTCGGATTGCTGGCAAGGATTACTCGAAGACTGTGCGTCCGCCTTGAGTAAGTGCTGCCGCACGATTTCCTGCCTCAGAGTGCACTCGCCCTTAGGCTGAAAAAAGGACAGCTGCTCCGACAAATTGTCCGTGGAGAGTCCGTGCACATTGAGGAACCTCAGCAAAGAGGGCCCATACAGGGAGTTGCTCTCATCCAGCATTACGTGGGAAGCAATGGTGGAGGGCGGGGCCAGCGGCTCGGCCAAACGGTTCGGCACCCGATCAGCCATAACATGGAATCGCAGAGCGAACTTCGACCACGATTCCGGGAGGCTAAAGTGGACGAGTAGCTCTTTGTTCCGCTCTCGCAGCTGCAGTTGGTTGTCGTCGTAGACCAGCAGCAGTTCGTGTGGTTCCTCCAATTAGAGATTAATTAGTCAATTAGCTTGTTAATCAAATAACTTTCAGAATAACTCACCTGCGCGTGGGCTTTCGAGATGGTCAGGCACTGATGTCCAGCTCCGACCAGAACATTTCTCAATTGCACCATCTCCTCTTGACTGTTGCAGAATATGATCGTTCGCTTCTGTGGCGGCGTCTGCGAGGCCAAGAATTTTAGGAGCTGAGCGGCTTTTTTCTGTGCCTGTCCCACACACATCGTTAAATTCACGCCCCCGTACATGGACGCCTCAAGGAAGTCCCCAAAGATCAGCAGATTAGTCGGGGTCCATTGGAGCAGCTTCTGAAACGCCTGCTCATGCCAGTGCTGGGCCACCAGAACGAGCTGAATTTTCGAAGGCAGCAAACGGCGCAACCGATTAATAACATCGTTCAGGAGATGTGGAGCAGCCAGCTGCATGCGATCGTAGTCGTCCAGGACTACGTGTTTCAGATACGCTGGATCAAAGAGGGGTAGGCCCTTGCGTTTATAGTCCATCAGGGCATTCAGATTTGCAAGTGTGGACACCAGGACGCCACACGAGCCGAGCAGCATGGAGACCACATCGACCTCGGATTGGTCGTGGGTGTTAACCACTTTGAAGAATGGAGTTTGGAAGTCCTGCATCAGAAGAGAACAGTGGTTGGCCAGCATCTTGGCGTTGACCGAGGATTCGGTAAGCAATACGGCCACTGGCCCTCTCTTGAAACTTTCTCCATCTGCTTCCATGGAGCGCATCACCAACGAGCAGAGCCCCGGGAGATAGCACCAGGAGCGACCTGTGCCCGAGGCATTCACCAGCAGCAGGGAGTTGCCCTTCATGAGGTGTGGCCAGGCAAAGCATTGCGTGGACAAAGGAGTCCGGTAGTTCAGCTTCTGCAAGACGCTCTCAATCTCCTTCCCGAGCGATGCCTCGCTCAAGTTCCGGGCGACGTCCACTGACACTGATGGCTGATAGCTGTGGGTCAACACCCTGCTGGCCAATGAGATGTTTATCCTCTGAAATAGTTTCGGCTGAGCTCCTTCGGCTTTCCCAGCTGTGGCATCTCCCTTAAACAGAATGCGCGTGACCATGTCCTGTGCTGAAGGTGAGGCAGTCAAGGAACTACTTCTTGGCTCTGAGGGCTCGCTCCGTTGGTTATTCGTATGGATGGTTTCCTGACTAGCCAACAATCCAGAATATCTGCCAGGAGAACCTTCACTCATCGAGGGACGGCTCGTCAGCTTGAGCACCTTTAATCGATCTGCCAGGCTGGCCAGTTGTGGTCCTGCTCTATCGGGTGATTCATTGCCGAGTTTCCCGGGTGCCTCCATTTGATTTCTTTTTTCCACGTTCTCCTCTAGGTTTTCCTTTTGGCTCGATTCGCTGATGAGAGCCGTTTGGACAGAGTTGCCGTCTAAGCCGCTGACCTTGCTCAGACGCCGGGCCGCGTCCGGTATGGGCTGTTCGCTGCGCAGCTGCAAAAGTCTATCCAGCTTCATGGGATCCTTGGAGGGACACTGCTGACTTCGTCTCTTTTGGTAGTTTTGATTGCTTGTTGAGGTCTGTCTGAATGGATTCCTCTCCACTCGAACTTCCGTGTTGGACAGGGCTTTGGAGCAGTCAGCGCGGTTCTGTTCGATGGCCAAGGGAGGAGCGGCCGCCACTAGCTGAATTATTTTTGTGGCACGCAACCCTGCCTTGAGCTCCACGTCGTTGATATCCGCCAAGTCAAAGGACAAGGGATCGAGGTAGGGAGGCATGTTGCTGCTGTTCTCTCTGCGTCCATATTGTCGCTCCTCCAGATAGACGACTGCATCCACAGCTTGGGCGCTTTGGCCGTTCGAATTTATCCATAATGTTCCAAAATTCTCGTTCATGGGCCCCTGATATTTAATGTCGAGGAATAACAGGTGGGCCTCCTCCAGCTTCTGACCAAAGACGCTTAGTGCAGCCTTCGTCCAGGTGCTTCCATTATAGGGCGTAATGAACGCCACTCCTCCCATTTGAACGTCATAGAATTTTTTGTTTAGGTTTTCGGGCAACAACCACAGATCTCTGGCTGTGCAGTTAATGGTAAAGCCATAGTCCAGGGCAAACACCAGGTACTCCTCTCCCTTGCGCTTCCGAATGACGCCACGGAGCAGCTTCGGGGGACTTCCTAGCATGTACCGCACAATTACCTCCAGGAACTCACAGTAGGACGTTCGTTGGTTCACGGGCCTGCAGTGTTCGAGCAGTTGCAGCTCCATTTGTCGCACTAGCGCACTGCAAGCCTCCACATCCTTGGCACTGATGTACCAGAACTGTTGGGGGCTGACATAGTGAGTGATCAGAATCCGATTGCCCTGGCAACGGGGGTTCTCCTCCAGCTTGCCTAAAAATTGTTCAATTATTTACAAGTTTTCTCTTAAACAACAAAATTACAAATTCATCTTAAACTTAAGGCGTGCGTAAATTTTCGGAGCACTAGAGTACAATTCGG